CCGCCGCCACCGGAGCCCCCCAGGAAGCCGCGCGTGGACCCGCGGCGGCGCCAGGCTGCCCTCTCCTTCCTCACCAACATCTCGCTGGACGGACGGCCGCCGCTGCAGAACGAGGAGTGGGGCGGCGGCGAGGAGAGCGGCGCGGTCAAGGCGGGCGGCGGCAGCGTCTGCGGCGCGAGGACCCGCCTCAGCCTGCTCGCCGCCGCCGAACGCGGCGGCTGCACCACGCTCGCGGCGGCGACGTTTGCGGGTGGACCCGGCCCCTGCGTCTCGCAGCCTTTGCTGCTGCCGCCCCTGTCCCCGGGCGTCTATGCGACTGTGTCTGGCCCGGCGGCGGCCCGGGGGTTCGCCAGCCTCCTCGGCGCGGGCCGGGCGTCAGGCGAGCAGCCGCAGCTGCCCGACGAGCCCGGGGGCACCGATCAGGAGGAGGACGATGCCTTTACGAGCGTGCAGGTGCCGGCGGCCGCCTTCTTGGGCTCCGGGACCCCCGGGACTGGGAGCGGCAGTCGGGGCCGCCTCAACTCGTTTACTCAGGGAATTCTGCCCATCGCCTTCTCCAGGCCCACCTCGCAGAACTACTGCGCCCTGGAGCAGCCGGGTCAGGGGGGCAGCACCAGCGCCTTCGAGCAGCTGCAGAGGTCCCGGTGAGTATCCAGGATGGGACGCGCGCCCAGCCTCCCGCCGGCTCCTTTTGCTGCGGGACATAGGTCGCTCCCGATTTCCCGCGCCCTGCCAGATGCCTGGGCTTCTGGCTGGGATTCCAAACCACGAGGGCACGCGAAAGAGGGGGAGTACACAGGGAATGGGTGATCACGCGTGTGTGTAGACCCCGCACAAGTAGGGAGCACGAGCCCGGCGTTCGCACAACAGGAGCGCCACGCTCCTGCAGTGGGGGTCAGGACCTGGAAATGTGGGAGCCCACGAAAAAGCGGCCCCCAGACCTCCCATTGCCAGGAGGAGATCACGAACTTCTAGAACCCCGGGCAGACCCAGAGACACGCTGTCCCCACGGTGTGCGACACTTGGCAGGCTCAAGTGCGGGTACAGTTGGCTTGCGGAGCCTCCGCCTCGGGTCTGGCCTGCAGCTGTGCGCGCGCGTGAGAGCCTAAACTTGTAGCAGTGCGCAGCGAATCTCTCCTGAGAAGTTCTTGCCTGCGCTCAAAGCATTCCTGGGGCCCGGGACCAGTTGGCGTTTTCCTTTTGCTTTCCTAAGAAGTGGCCCCTTTTACATTCCCATGAACCAGGCCCTGGGGGTGGGGGACAAGGAGGAAATAGGGCATGAGGATTCTTTTCTTCACTGTAAGATGAATCTTGTAGAGTTAGTTAAAAAGCTTGTACTTGCTAGTTTGTGTTTCCTGCAGGTATTAGGATTTTATCAAAATCATGAAATGTTGGACATTTGCTTTTTGTTGGGGAAGTAGCTAGAGGTTGTCACCATATGTTCAAGGCTCTCAGGGTTAGGTCTGTGTAGGGCATTGGGACTGGAGATGGGGTAGACCCTAGTGGGGAGGAGGAGCAGGCAGGCCTTTTACCTGGGAGTTCCTTCCCTTGTTGATAAGGCCTTCTAGAAGTTAGAGAATAGATTCCACCCTGGCTCAATTATTTTAACCGCTTGAGCCTCAGCTTTCCTTTCTGGGATGGGACCTTGCCAAAATTTTGCAGGCTTCAGATGAGAGGGAACAACATCTTCTGTTACAGCCTCTCTGAGCTCAGGCTTACTCTGGCCTAAGTGAGAAAGTGGCCTATGGGAAAATGTAACTTCCTCCCCCGAGGTATAAATGGGGAACAAGCCACGCTGGTCCAGAAGTTTGCTCTTGGTCTAATTTCTTCCCAAATGGATGAAATCATGGTTTGTAGCATTGCAGCCTGAGTGCACGTGGGCCACAGGCCGGTGTGGAGCCAGGGAGGCAGCCTGCAACTACATGGTGAATTTTCCATGCTGGGCACAGGTGACAGTCGGCTCTGGCGTTTCTTGACAAAGCACATATCTTCGCATTAGTCTCCCTGTTAGCGGGCGTGTGGACAGGAGGGGAATCCCTTCCTTTCTGGGCAGGTGGCGCAAACTCAGCAGTTTCTGGGCAGCCCGATGTTATACTCAACATCACAGTCTGACTGATAATGACTCTAGTTTGAGCCTAAGCCCAGTTAGTCAAGAGGGTCATGACAGGAATTGTAATAAACATACATGTTGTTCTAAGCCAGTGTGGAAGGCTCGCCTGTGTCTGGTGATGGACAGATGTGCTCACCCTGCTAAAGGCAGCTGGAGATCAGATTACCTCACATTGCTCCAAGAAACTCAGATCAGGGGCTAGTGGGGATTTTGTGTGTTAGTATTTCTTATCCAAACAATATCCAGAATGTAATCTCTAGTCCTATAAACGTGAATCTCTTAGATTTTTATTGATCTTCCCCCCTCCACGCACACACATTGTTTCAGTTAGTCAATACAAGATGTTTCCTTACCTGACAGTCACATTAATCTCGCTACTTCAGAATAATCTGTATGTGGCAAATTGATAGGTTTTATTATTATTATTGTTGTAGCTGTCAACAGAAACAACATCAAATTTAATGTAGATAGAGGGGGTAAAACGGATTTAAGAAAGGCTTGAAGAGTGGACTTGGCTGTGAGAGAGGCTGCCTTCAGATTTGTGGAGGCAATGAACTTGAAATATCCTAGGATGCTTTGTTTCCTATGCTGTGCTGCTTCCAAGAGGTTTGTCAGAAGTGTGCTACTTTTCTGATTACTAAAGAGCACCCTTAACCTTCCTAGATCAAGTGTGATTTGGAGTGCAAACTCGTGTGAACTAGCCCCAGGCCAGTTTAAAGAGTGCGATTAGCCTTCTTGGTGTGCCTCCGTTCAAGAAAGCCTGGTAGCCTTGTGTAGCTCTGTAGGCTCCTTGATGGATGGGCTCCTGGGAAGTTGTTTTTAAATCAAAATATACTTCCCTGGGATTAAAGCAAAAAAACAAACCTGATGCCGTCGAGTCGAGTCGATTGGGACTTATAGTGACCCTATAGGACAGAGTGGAACTGCCCCATAGGGCTTCCAAGGCGGTAATCTTTACAGGAGCAGACTGCCACATCTTTCTCTTGCTGGAGCTGGTGGGTTCGACCCCCAACCTGCAGCTGAGAGCTTAACCACTGTGCCACCAGGGCTCCTTTTCCTGGGATTAGCTTTTTTTTTTTTTTCTTTTTTTTTTTTTTTGCTATTTAAGGAACTGACAGAACCTTGCTACTCAAAAGTGTGGTCTCTGGACCATCAGCTTCACCACCAGCTCCTTAGAAATGCAGAATCTTGGGCATACCCACCCTAGACAACTTCAGTCCCAGTCTGCAGTTAACAAGAACTGCCCCGCCCTGTGATTTGTATACAAATGAAAGTTTGAGAATCATGGCTTCAGTGAACCTGAATCTACCTTTTCAATGCACTTACGATCTCATTTTAGGTTTGTTGTGGGTGTGAGGGGTCCCTAGGTGCTTGACAACTAACCAAAAGTTTGGTGGTTCGCACCCACCCAGAGACACCTCAGAAGAAAAGTCTGGTGATCTGCCTCCATGAAGATTACAGCCAAGAACACTTTATGGAGCAGTTCTACTCTGTAACACACGGGGTCACTATGAGGTGGAGCCGACTCTACAGCAATAGGTTGGGTTTGGTTTTATGGGTATGTAGAGATCACAATTTCCAGGTCTGCACTCTTGAAGCCCTTTCTTTTCTGTTGCTCTCATCTGGGCACTCGTAAAACCAGCCGTAATTATTGCTTGGACTTTAGACTTTGAAATACCACAGGGAGGAACATTTCTGCACCCAGGCTTTGGCACAGGGTAGAATGATTAGTCGACTGAATGATTTTACACCATGTCTGTGCACATGTCTGAGTAGAGCTGTACTCAATGGAGTTTTTAATGGTTGGTTTTTTGGAAATAGGTCTCCAGGCCTTTTTTCCCTGAGGTGCCTCTGGGTGGCCCAAACCACCTACCTTTTGGTTAGCGGCCAAGTGTGTTAACTGTTTGCACCAACCAGGGACTCCTGCTGTTTACCAGTCTCATTCTTTTGGAACATTTGAGGAACCCAGGACTGTGGACCTGGTGGTCCTCCCAGCCTCATGGACGTCCCCGTCACTGAGTAGTGAACTCACTGGGGTCTGATCCTAGACCGAGGTGAGGTGTTGAGGTGGGAAGCCAAAAAGATGCCTTCTACCTTGATGCCCTGCCCTGATTCTCTGCGTGGGCCGCAAGCCTGCTTCACAGAGGTGCTAATAGGTGAAGGGGGTTGTAAATTTACAAGATGTGTTTTAAGGCTTCCTTTTGCTTTAATTCCATCTCTGGCAGCCGCTGGCAGCAGCCCCAGGTAACTCCACTTCCTAGAGCTGGTGAGTGGTAGACAGCCACCAAGAAGTCGGCGGTCGGCCCAGTTGCAGGCCCAGGTGAAAGAAAAGATGTGTGTTCTCAGGCCTGACAGGAGGGGTCACGGGGAAGGGGCTGGTGTGCTTGCAGCCCCCAGGTATTATTTTAAAATAGAATGGTTGTTTTGCCTCTTAGAGCACCTGACTTAGTGTGGCGTCTCTAGTAGTCAGGCCTTAAAAGGAAGGAAGCGAGTGGTGCAGAATCCTGAATTGTGGCGCAGAATCCTGAACCAGGAGTCCAGAGTCTTGGGTTCAAATCCTGGTCCCACCGCAACAGCTGTATGCGCCTGGGCAAGGACTCAAGGTTTTTGGGTCTGTGTCCTCCGAGAGCCTTGGCCTGTGGCTTGGGCCCTTTCAGATGCTAGTGTGGCTGTGATGTGAGTTCTAATAACAGCAACAACTGCATTTACATATCCCGAGGGCTGACTATGTGCTGGGCAGGTGATAAATGCTTTATATCAGGACTTCTCAAATTTAAATGTGCTTGGAATCACTTGGGATCTTGTTAAAAGGAAGATTCATATTTAGTAGGTCTGGGGGATGTGAGTCTACATTTCTCACAAGTTCCCACGGAGGCAAATAGACCACACTTTGGCTAGCGAGGCTTTATGGGGTACTGTTATTGTTCCTATTTTAAGGTTGAGGAAGGTAGCGTTCAATGTTAAGTAAGCTGCTCAAGGTCACTTGGCCAGTAAGCCATGTAAGTGGCAGAGCTCAAACACCCTACCCTCTGCATTGCCTGCTGGGTAAAAACTGGCTTGTGCCATGACTGCCGTATCATTCTTTCCTAAAAAGAAAGACATGAGTGGACCAGGAGGTGGACAGCCATAGTAGGGGAGGGGGATTGGAGTTCTTTCCTAACTTTGTCTCCGCCTTGCTGTGTGACATCAGTCAGCTCACCACCCTCTTGTGCTCAGGCTGTAACCTCCTGACCCTTCCGGATTTGAGAAGTCCTGAAGGACTTCCATCTTCTCGGTAGTAAGCAAATACAAGTTATTATGGAGCGTTTTAACAGTAACATGAATTGTAGAAGCCAAAGCTGAAGCCCCAGGCCATCACAGGCCCTGGTAAGGCCTAGGCCCTGTCTCTCCCAGGGGTGGAGGCCAGTGGCCCATGCCCAAGGTTCTCCCACCGCCCTCCTCGAAGTCACAAAGCCTGACATGTTGGGAGCCAGCTCAGAAGGGGAAATAAGTCAGAAGTCTGCTCACTGCTGGCAAATGCCCAGCGGGGGCAGC